AATTCGATTCCATTAAATTGTCCAATATTCCCTTAAAATCCAATGTGAATCAATTAAAACATAATCTTTCAATTTGTTGGTTCAACGCTAAAAGGTAAACGTGGAGGCTTAACCTTTGGGTAAAAAGAATTTGTTAACCTAGAGTAACTAAAAGTATTTGTTAATCATTTGATGTTATTTGTTTATTGGTAGTATTTGGTTTGAGAAGTGCAAACAAGTAAAATATTATTTGTAAAAAAAAAATGAATAAATATATAAAGTGAAGTTTTGGTACAAGCCATAAAAGTTAAATTTGATCATATAGTATTAATTTATTTTTTTACCTTTAACTTGTACATGCCTGTGCCATTACACTAGTGTGTATATATTTGAATTTGACTTGTTAAGGGTGATCAAATATATTCCAATTCAATATAAATGGATCAAATTGAAAGATCACAATCTAATTCATTTATATCCCTAAGTAATAGCTTAACTGCCCTTTACATGGGAAAAATTAGGCTTCAAGATTAAAGGAGATCCAAGCGACTACCCCTGGAAAAAAGTCATCAACTCGTGGACCCAAAAAAAAATCAAAAGTATCATCATCTTCATCAACTTATGATTTCTCTCTCTTTTTTTTTGTTTCCTGGTTGCACCTCAGAATTGTATTTGTTAAGGAGGCTCTCTATCTCTCGTACATTAATTTCATGGGGAATAAAGTAGGCTTCTTGCTTTCCTTCCAAAAAGAAGTATTACTTCACTTGTGTTGTGGTTCATCACCTTCTCGCTCTTCCTTTTTCTCCTTCTATCTTTTTCGAGTCATTAGACGTTTGGAAATTAGAACCTTTCACAGACACAAGTGGGTGAGACTGAGAGATAGCGTTTGATAGAAAAGTTTATCCCCATACTACTCTTCTTACATTCAACAGTTGAAGTAAACTTTTTTTTCTGTTTGAAAGGTGTATAAAGTATTTGATAGAGGAGTAGTTCAGCAAAGGATAAAGGGAGGATTCATGGGGCCATGGAATCTTGCATGTGCAAGCTTTAACACTTAACAGATTGGCTGAATAGCCGTCACATGTTCAATGGTAGCTCGTATACTCTGGTTAACTTTCTTGAGCACGTGGTCAATTAAACAGAAGCTGGTCTTCAAAGGGAACTTCCACACCCCTCCCCCTCTAAAAAAAATGATTCAGAGGAAAATTAAATGAACGTCTGCTTGGTTATTACTCATAAGAAATAATATTACTGGAAGTGAAATAAGAAGGAAAAAAATGATCATTTCACAAATTAATGGGGAAGATAGGAGATATCAAAGGGCTAAATACTGGACCAAATGTTGTTCATAGGCATCCATGTGTGTGTGTGTGTGGAATAAGGACAAAATATAAAGATGAATAGACGAGACACGAGACTGAACCCGCTCTCATTGTGCAAAAGATGATGTGGATGTGACGATGGTGATGGTGTAGATGCAAGTAATCCCTTGACGCATATCTTGTTCAGACAGTGAGATCAAGTCCATGGATGTGCTGGAAGGGCTTAATATGGAAAATAAAACCAGAATCAGACCAAGCAGATGGAGCACAAAAGGAAAACAATCTAGCCAGGCTGCCCTATCGAAATCAAACATACCCAACTCAAGAAAAGAAAAGAAAAAAAAAAAAAAAACCGCCCTGACAAGAACTCAGTTGTCTACTTCCTTGACAGTAGCTGAACAAATTCGCACCGTGGGGATCATCCAGTTGTTCAAATCACGAATCAGAATTCAGAAATCAACTGTTTCCCTTCAGTTTATTTATAAGCCACGGCCAAAGTAAACGGAAGATTTTTCTTGAAAGAAGGGCAAAATCCTTCTTGGTACATTCCAATGCCAGAATAGTCTTTGAAATGCATCTGGGATCGTATCTAAATGTGTGCAACCTTTTCCTCCTCATGGTAAATAGTTGGACAAGAAATCCTTTGACAGTGAAAACTCAAGCCAATCCACCTGACACTAGAATCTAGATTCCCTATATGGCTACATTTTGGATGGTGTGAATATGACAAACAGACCTATAAATTTCCTTCACGTATACCAATATGAATTGAAAAATCTGTTTTGGGGGATTCACCCAGACGAAACTCGCAAAACCATTTCAAACTAAATCCGAAAACTCATCGACCTAGGAGTGGCGATAGTCAGCATCGCATTGGATGAAGCCCGATGTTGGAACACCAGATGGACTAAGAGTTTTGAGGTTAGCAGTTTTACTCTGTAGCTGTGTCTTTTCATCATATTTTGGTCCATTTTCAACTCAAGAAGTGAGTGAGGCTTGGATTGCAATGTGCTGCCATGCTACAAAAACAAAATGTGCGCCTCCTGAAAACAATCTTGGGGAAAAATAGAACCAAAAAAAGCACTCCATACATGCCTGATCTCTTCCCTTCTAATATTCTTTCCATTCTTTCAAGGGGAGTTGGTCTACAAGTCATTACAGGCTATATCCAACAACTAACTGAAAACATAACCATTTAATCCTACATATGGGAAATATTTACTGATCTCAGGTCATAGTTGCTTGATGAAAGAGGGGAAAATTTTACTACCCCATGACTTACGTACCAAAATCGCACTGTAAAAGCATAGAACCATTGGTTTCTGTACTTAATTTGGACAATTGGCTGGCGCCTAGTATTCATACAAGTTAGAAATCAATGAGAAAACCCAGGATGTTCATTCTTTAGGGTTCAATTTTTATTTTTTTTTGGCATATTCACATCACAGCACTAGAAATGAGATAAGAATATATAAAGAACACAAATAATGGAGTAAGATAAACTGCATACTCCTGTCACTATGCTGCAAATGAGATAGAAATCTGTATAAACGAGTCCTAGAAGGCATAATACATTTGTGTGCAACTCGATAACCAAAATGATAAATACAAGAGTTATATTATAATCGGACAGGGAACCATCAAACTAACCTAGCCATGCCGAAAATCCTCAAATATTACAGAAATGGATGGGTTGAAAAAACTATTAATGTCATATTAATCACAACATTACTGAAAAATCCCAATGTCAAATGTAAATCCCTACGATAGTACAATCATATAAAACAGTATCTGATTAAGCCCATCCAAGATGCAAAAACGCAATGTACTGATACAAATAATTCAAAAGAAAAATAGAGGACTTTATTAGGAGGCATATAGGCAGACATAATCTTGAAGAATCTAGAAACAAAGTTACTATGCTTGGAAGGGCATATGTAATCAGCAACAACTTTGGATTAAGCTGACAGCAAGGTTCAAAGTATCGATACAATATGCCCTGTATCGGGCGTATCGTATCGTATCTTTTGGTCTCGATACACCTATTTACAGGTGTTTCGGGACCCTGGTTTATTTCAATAAAAAAACCATTAAAAGCATCTTTAAAAATCATATTTTGAAAAAAAAACTAAAAAAAACCATTGAGCGTGTGATTTTAAGTATCGATACGCCCCTGCCGATACACAGGAGCGTATAGATACTTTGAACCATGGCTGTCAGTAAATAATCACACAGGTAATTTCCCCCATTAATAAATGATAATTTCTCGCTCTCCTTCTCTTGCTGCGTTCTGATGGTCTTCTAGTTTTCCTGGTACTACATTGGTTTTCCTCGGTCATCCTGCCATAACTCCGAGTATGATGAATGAGATAAAGAAAACAGGACACACCGACCATACATTTACATAAAAATGCTTTCAAAGGAGCAGGAGATAGATCTGGTTTGGCCCAACAAAAGAGGCAGAGACTGCATTCACACTCAGCTTATGGAATGTGTTGGATACTATAGACTCTTCTCTCCCTTTTGGTAGCTACAGTGACTACCTACAAAGCAATTCTTTCTAGCCAGGTTTCTGAAAATCATAGTGGCTACTTTTGGATTGATTGGTTACTCGCTTTCAAGCAAAATAAAGAAAAATAAAGAATGATCAAATACATAAAACAGGAGTTTCAAAATAAAGAGCTTAACTTCTATGAGTATTTCCTAATTGCAAACAGTGCCTACAGGCCGCACTAACTGGAGGAAAACTCCATATGATTTGGTCCCATCCATCCAAGACAGTAAGGGTATAGAAGCTGCAAGCAGGCTAAGAGGAACATGGATTAAGGTAGTGCAAAAATGTTTTGGGGACTAAACATTTAATGATGGATGTAGCCCTAGATAGATTGGAATTGCAAAACAGGATTCATGCAACTTATGCCATATAGAAATAGTTAGCATAAGGATTTCCTTAGTATCACAAAAAACTAGTGAGAATTCAAAATTAATGAAATCTGCTACATTAAATAATAGTAAACAGGAAAGACAGGGGGCCAAAGTAGTAAGAAACACTTTATAAGCTAGAGAACCTGAAGAAAAACAGTGTGCCAAAAACATAAATAAAGAATCATAAAAATTAAAAAGGAAATCCATCGAGCATTAGGAGATCACCACATATGTATGTACATTCCATCTATACTTTCTCTGTTTCTCAACAGATTTACAAAGTTACTCCATAGCTTTCTGTTGCTCACAACAGGAGAACAAATTGCATCAGAAAATCCAAGAACCAGGAATGTTGCTACCACTCCTGAAGCTTCTGTGGTTAGGACTCTTAAGAATCCAAGGAGATTCAACCAAATATTGAACTCAATCTAACAAAATCCATAAAATCTTCCAAACCTTCCCTGCCTTTAGAATTTCCTGCTTCTGAAGGTTGCAAATCTCTAGTAGTTAAAATGAAGCCCCTGGGGAACACAGATGTCAAAATTATTATCAGAGTGCACTGGAACCTTTTTTCTCCACCAAGTTAATAAATAAGGATTTGAAAAGAGTTGGTGAACTTACTGACTAATTAACTTGCATGCATTCTCTTCAGTTGGCATAAATATGTATGCTTGTAACTTGAAGACACGATTGCACTAGTTAGTCAATCTTAGGTAGTAATATTTTACTTACACCCTAACGCACTATGTTAGTCATTCTTTGTATATCAAAACCTTTGCAATAGCTCTCCAATAGATTTTCCATTCTACAAACATTACTCTACAGTGGAGTTGAATCCCATAACACCTAATTCAAGGAGAAAGGTTATAAGGTGCTCGATTCATGAGAAAATGCAGCAATCAACTTCTCCTTTGTAAGCTGCTCAGATCCTTGAGATTTGACCACAAATGTGTGGAAGACGGTATCATTTCCGGCAGAGATCTTTGATTCCACCACAGTGATTTGTGCTTCTTTGAATGCATGGATGACTCTTGATACAGGATGAACATCCAATGGGCAGTTTACCCTTACAATAACCTCATCATGAAGGGCTTGAATGTCGATGTCTGGGCCTCGCTTCCGATCATCTCCAACAGAATTGGCTTCTGAAGCTACAGTGTCTCTTGACTGGTTGCCAAACTTTTCTCTCTCTGATTCCATGTCCTTGAGTTTCTTCTGAAGTTCAGTGATGTAGGTTATGGCATCTCCGAGCAGGGAGGCCTTGTCCATCTTGGAGATATTGGGCACGACGGCCCTTAATGCATAGAACCGCTGATTAAGCTTCTCCCGGCGCTGCCTCTCAGCCTCAACATGGTTAAGGGGCTCCTCTCTTCCATTTGCAGGCTTCCTGCCCCGTTTCCTGGGCCTTCGCTCGTCCACTGTGCATGGACGGTCTTCCTTGCATGATGCCTCAACATCTGAGTGCTCTGATTCTATGGCACTCTGCCGAGTAATCACAGGAGACCTTGAAGTTGTCCCAGTGAAATCAATTTGTCTCTGTGCTTGCATCTGTGCCTGAAATGGGTTCAACCGAGTGTCTTCCCTGATCCCATTACAGTGGCCAAAGGATCGATGGGAAGGCTCAATGTTGTTATTGATCATAAGAACAGTATGCCCAAGCTTTTGCTGATTGTTTCCAGGATTTTGCGGGCTGATAACCTCAGCAATTGCCCCTGGTTTTATACCATGGAACCATGAAGGCCCAAACCCATGAACACTCTTCCTATTGTTAAATGGAAGCCTATTCCCATTGTATACATCCCATTGCCTCTCCTCCACCTTTGCAACAACGAGCCTTTCACTGTGCTGAGAATTAGACCGAATGGGGTTCAGATCCTGACCAAAAATCTTTGGGAACTCATCTGCTCGTTCCACGGTCCTGGAATCTGATGCAATTGCACTACTATCTTTCTTCTCATTGGAAGCTGGTAACGGTTTGACCTGGATAGGGAAGGCGGCGGACTTTGAGAACATGGACCTTATTGTCTGCAACACCTCCAAATTCTCAGAAATGGATCTGACTGATCCCAATTCGGCCACTCCAGTATCTGTGGGGACAAGAACAACAGTCTGGAGCCCAGCAGACCTCGCAAGGAACGATCGGACACAGTAATCAGGTGATTTCAAGGCATCCGAAATCCACAGGTACTTACCTGATCCAAACGCCTTACCAGGAGCCCCCTCACCCTGAGGAAAGAAGAAGTACATGGAAGCAAGGAAGAACATCTCCGTGTCTGTGACCCTGTCCAAGCCAAATGCATAGCTTTCCTCATCGGAACCTCCAAAGAAAGTGTGAAGCTTCTGCAGGACCCTCTTCCTCATCTTCTGCTGAGTTTCGTCTTCAAACCGGAAGCTTAGGTTGTGGGTAGCTTCGGACTCTTCCCCTTCCTTCGGCTCTCTGCAATATCCATCTCCCCAACCCAAAACCAACTCTCCAGTCTTCGAACTTGAAATCTGCCAAAAGATTGCGTAATTCCAGGTAAAATTTGAAGCGTTCGGGCCCTCGACGAGGTCCGAAAGCTTGTTTTGCAAATTCTCGTCGTTCCCAACAGCCGTCATCAAACCTTCCGAAGACACAGTGCTCTTCATCAAATATTCGAAAGCCCGAGCACCAAGAACTGCCACAACCGCGGCTTTATCCTCGTCGTTCCAAAATCCACCACCCATTCCAGTCTCTGTCTTCATCACCAACAGCCACCTCCCGACTCCAATCCCCCCACCCGGAAAGAAAAATAAATAGATAAAAAAAAAAAGAAACAGAAACTCAAACAGGAAAAAAAAAAAGCCTTAATTAAAAGTTACACACTTACACTCACAGAAACCCAATTCCCAGATGAAATTTATTCTAGAAAACCCCTCAAGAAATCACACGTTCAACAATTTAAACATAAAAAAAAAATAAAAAACAAGAAACTTGCATGATCCCCGTGTTTTTCCATATTTCACTCATTACGACTAATTCGATATTGTTCAGTTTCAGATCTCACCGGTTGTCAAATTGATTTTTGAATCCAGATACAGAATACGCAATAGTGCGTGCAGATAACATAAAAATCTCATAAGGGAATTCGGAAAACATACACACCAGTTGGGCGAGCGAGATTCAAAATGCTTGAGACATTTGAATTGCCGTAAGTTTCTTGGCAATGTGGTAAGAGGTGATAATATACGAAACAAACAAACAAGGTTACTCCCACCCCGCGAACAAACCAATGGAGAGGGTGCGCGTTCGACAGAAATAGGCGTACCAGTAAACGGGGGGGGAGAGAGAGAGAAAGAGATGAGTTGAGAGAAAGCTCACTTTGTCTATTGTTTACCCCCAAAACAAAAGGGCCAAAACCCTTGTTAGACGTGGAAGAGATTTGATACCATGGGTTGAGTTAAAAAGTAACCATGATTAGTTTTATGAGTTTTCTTTTTTTTTTTTTTTTTGGTAAAATTATGAGTTGAAGAAAAGAAGGCAGTCATTTCAGGCGCAGCAGTTTATACCTAATTACCTATACCAATATCAGTTCCAATATTTCGAAAAATCGTAGTTGTTTTTTATTTGCTATGAAAACATTGAGACGAGTTGACTCAGTTGAGCAGCAGCCAGCTGGGCTGGGCAGAGCGTAGCCACAGCCAGTTTTGTTTGTATAAATATGAAAAAGAAGAGAACATTCGTTTGGATTTTGCTGAATTTGGGCCGAAAGTTTTGCCGAAATTAAGATAAATGATGGGCTGGAGGTTGAGTGAAATATCCAAAATTAAATCCTGAAGTGAAATGTTTAGTTGCATGGAACAAGATGAAATTGAAGCATTTAAAAAAAAAAAATGCTTAAAAGACTCCAATCCATGGCCCATATCCAACAAACCATTCTCATTAGTCTGTTAGTTGTGTATTTAACTGCTGCTGCTGCCATAATACCGTGTACAGGTTACAGCAATCAGAAAAGAAGCTGCCACATGTTTTGAGGATAAATACTAGTCTATTATTAGTTAGCTTAGGTAGATTTGATAAGTTGATCCTTCCTATTGATTAGACTTTTCCTAGATTAGAGGCCATTATTGTCAGTACAACTGGAAAAATGAAAATATTATTAGGCATTTTTTTCATTTCTCCCTAATCCACTGTCCACAATGCCTCATTAATTATGTCCAATTTCTTTGGTGGACTGATAATTGACAATTGGAAAATGACAAACATACCCCTCTTAGTGAAAGCGCATATGGTGGACCCATCCACCAGTCAGCAGACTCACCACCACCACCTCTAGTCTCTAGAGTCATAGATTTATAGTGAGTGATGCATCTGAGAGGAGAGGAAACGAGGTAGATAGAAGAAGCCAAAAATGAGTGGAGCAGAGTCCAATTACACTAGAATTACAACAATAAAAAGGACTCTTGCTGCAACGGGCTCTTATCTTTTTGCTTCCACCGCCCTTGCCCCGCTCGCTTATGTCAGCCTTGTTTTCAATGTGTGCAAATTCACCAAAATATCTGAATGTTCCTCTTCCACCAACATGAAAACTCAATCCCACCTGTTTTTCCAAATAACCCTCAATCTGAGCTAATTGAGGCCTGGGTAACGAGTCCAAATTTTCTGTCCATGAGAATTTTATTCACGTTTATTGTAGTCATATATAAACAACATCTCATCTTATATGTTTCCAATTCACAGAAATAATATATTGTGATAGGCATGGGCAGAATTCTCGTGGGTCCTGAGTAACCACTCTCACCCTTTTGAGATAAGAATTCAATTTACGGTAGTCAACAGTTGCCAAACCAGAACCAGATAAGTATTAAAATAGGAAGAAAGGCGAAATAGGATTTAAATGTAACCAGTTCCATACTAATTAGGATATGATGATGATGATGATGAACGGCGGATAAACGAGCTCTCACATAAGCACAATAGGACAAGATATAAAACATAATAAGGGATTCAGGGGGTTACTTTTGAATCTTAACATGGGATTAAGGGTATTTTTTTATTTACAGAACACTCTGAATCTCTGACATGTGCCACACTCTCTATCTCCAAAATCCCATCTTAATAAGGTTCTTTTGTGATGAAGCAAATATACATTAATAGGAAAAATGAATAGGTTTTTGTTTTGAAGTAACATGCCATTTGTTGACTAAGCTGGGTGGAATAAAAAAGAAGAATGTAAATGCTACTCTCGCGAGTAGGTTTGAATAGGTACATATTCATCCTAGTCTTTGCAGGTGTCGATGTGAAGGGTTTTTATGTCTTTTTAACAAGGGGTTTGCTGGTTTCCAGACACTGAGAATAACACACGTAAGAAGCAGCACCGAGTGTAGAATGTATTTCTACTCGCGCGGGTAGGAGTGGTGGGAGAACAGAGGAGGGGTGAGGTCAAATCAATGGTCGCTGAATGAAAACGTTCAGGTTCGCACAAAACACGTGGCGAATGCATAATGCATGATATGCACGTGTCGTGGAGATGCGATCCAAATTTCAGCCTCGTTTTGAACGGTGAGGCTCAGCAAAAACTTGTGAAGGGAGCATGTGACGTTAACGTGAAGTGGAGGGTGGAGGCCCTGGAGGGAGAACGTGAACCGCATTTAATATACATCCCCTCCCGACTACTCTCCTTTTTTATCGTTATAACGTGTTCCGCGTGTGCTTTGCTTTGGCCCTTCACGATTTACATACACACACACCCCACTCAAACTCTGTCCTATTCCCGTATTCCCTTCCCCCCTCCACCGCTCTTTCTTTTGTTTGGGGAGACGTGACAAGCAGTTCCACTCTACACAATTCATTCCTACACCACTTCCCATCTGCCACGAGATCTGGAAAGTCCAGTTCTGATCTCATCATCCTGGAGTTCTTTCTGGCTACCATCTTAATTGCCTCACCCACGACTACATGGTCCCTGCTGTCCACTAGTTCTCTTTTTTTATTTTTTATTTTTCTAATCTGTAAACAGATTTAGTTCACAACTTAAAAGAATAAAAAATTGAAAAATAACTTCACAACTAACTACCTTTTTCGTCTGGCTTATATTGATCATTTTTGGCATCGCCTCACCGTACAGTAATCAAACAATTATCGTACTTTTTTATCAAAAGAAACCAAAAAAACAAGGAATAACTAGACGGCATTCCACCTCAGAATTCCAATCCAACGGTTCGTCATCGGCTTTTGAATTGATGGTCAGAATTAACCACGGTACTGCTGTACGTTTACGACTTTACGGTATACCAACCAATCACAAACCAACCACATACTTAGCTTAATGAATAATGATCCGTGTTAAGTGCGCCCAACTGACAGTACGCGGTTGAGCTATGGGCTTTAAATCACAGATAGGTACCGTACCCTGTATTTTTGGAGTACCAACACTTACGTAGGTGTTTGGCATCGGTGCTGTGTTCGAGATTATACCACGTCATTGCACCTAGATCAGTTCATGGGCCAGGTTCGGGGTTAGCTTTTGCTAAATTTTGATTGGGCTCAGCCCAAAGCCCAAGCCTAATCTATGAATAGGTCTAATTGCACTATTAGCAGCAACGGGTTGTTTTATGTGAAAACATTGAATTGGACATTTCTTCATACCACACTTTTCCAATTTCTAAGGCGTGGTCAGAAGTAACATTTTTCTAAAAATATAATACTAAATAAGAGGTCGTTTTCTGAAACACTACTTTTTTTGAAGTGGCGCCTATGTGGTGCCGTTTTCTCAAAGTGCAACATTTTAGTGCCTTGAGGTTTTTAGAAATATACACTTGAGTCCAATTTTGTTAAAACCAATATTATAGTGAAGGTAAAATTACAAAATGTCCATATTCAAATGTTCTTCTTTTTCATTATTACTCATAGTTCCATTCAAATGCTTTTATTCTTTCTTAGAAAGAAGCAAGGTTCAAAATATCGATATGCCGGTAGGGATGTATTGGCCTGTATCGAAGCTCATTTCTCCTATTTTTAGTTGATTTTTTTTGTAGGATACTTCCATGGTGGCTCTATACATCCATAAAGTAATTAGGTAATATGTTTTTTTAAACAGTTTTATTTTTTCATAATATTAAATCATATAAATATTATTTTTTACATTAATTTGATTTATATATTTTCTTTTAAAATTCTTTTATGATGTGAGCTTCAAAATTTGTTTTTTTTTTTCTTAATTTTCTATTCTGGTAAATTGTCTATTCACTAGCCCTTGTGAAGTAGGGGCATGTCGTTAGTTGATGATATAAGATATAACTGATTCATTTCAATAAAAGTCTATACAGAGTAGTACGAAAACAAACCACATTGAGAAAAGCTTCAAAGAAAAGAGTAAAAGTCAAATTATTAGGAAGAAGCTGAATAATTAAGAGAAAATCAACATAAAAAAAACTCCCTTAGCCTTCTCCTAGCTACTCTTTATATAGGCTTACACCCTTATGGCTCATACAAGAAAATTTCATAATCTATGATAACGCTCCATAATAGAATCCTCCTAAAACTCTTCAAAAAGAAAGTCCTAATTGAACAAAAATTTGGAAATCATGATCTAATGCTAACTAATTTTGAACTAGAATAGAAGTCCTGCACTGACACTATCTTGGTAAATTCGAACTAAGATAGAAGTTCTGCGCTGATGCTAACTTGGTAAATTCGAACTAAGATAGAAGTTGCATGCTGGCGCTAGCTCGGTAATTGATTACTCGGCTAGATTAGTAACGTCACCCAAGCTTCTTATGGGGCTGAAGCCTGTTACATAAGTCATTAGTGATGGACACCCAAATCTCTGCAATTAGGTTGAATGGGTAAAAACGAGTCGCTAGATGACTTGGAAACGTTGAAAGAGTCTGACTCGACTCATACTCTGTAACATTGCCTGCCATACCTAAGTGTTGATTAAAGTTCAAAAGACATCACCATGAATACTTTTCTCATCGAGATGCTCAGATTGTTCGATCTTCTTGTAATTTTGAATCTTGTGGAGGATCGTTGGAATGAGATTCAAAATTTCAAGAATCTCTCCTCCCTCCCTTGTATTTTTTATTTTTGTCTTTTCCTCTTCTCTCTCTTGAATGCATGGAAAGACTCCTTGTCCCACATTGCTTGGGAAAGGAGTAGAGGTGGAGTATATCTATAGTTTTTCTCTCTCTATGGGTAGGGACCCATAGGAGGAAAGCACTATAGATATTTCCATGCATGTGAGGGGGGGTTGGGGGTGCTTTTCACACGTGCGCACGGAGCCGGGCCGAGTCGGGGCACGTGCATGTATACATGTGCATGTGCGCTACACCGGATGTTTTTTCTTTTGACTGGATTAAACATTTGACTTTTAAATTTCAAATTTAAT